CAGAGGTATGAATCTACCAGCTGCTCCATGGGAGAAAGATGGACAGTCTTCTCCCATAAAGGTTTACAGTCTTTGAAAGCTGATGGAGGGCCACAAGGAGTCAAATTCCACTCAAAAGCAGTTGACTGGGTTTGGTTTTAGAAGGACTGGTAGAACCAACTCACCACTGACTTGATAGTGGGTTTTCTCAGGCTGCAAATAGCACGAGAGGTCAATGTCCATCTTTCTTCCTCAACACAGCTGGTGAACTCAAACTACGTGCCTTTGGGATTACAGTACAAATCCTGACCACTAAGCCATCAGAGCTAGTATATTTAAGATTATCTTTTCTTCATTTTTTCTTGTTTAATAAAAAGGAAAATAAACTTGAATATAGATTTGATTTGGAGAAGTATGCTTTTAAATTATGAACTTTTCTGAGATTTACCATCAAATAAATATCCAGGTTTATCTAATACCACCTGTCATTCTCTGAACACCGACTTGGACTCATAAGGGCTTACAATGCTTCTTTTCTATTTCAGCAACTCACTGGGGTGGAGGGCTGTAAAAAAACTGTTTCCTTACATTTCAGTAAAGTATCCTGCCATTGCCCACTTCTAGACTCTCTGATATAAAAATAAAATTGGGTGGCAATAGTAATAGAGACATAACACTAACTACTGAAGTTTACGGGTTCCCCTATATGCCAGAAGTGCTGTGTGTTCACTCCGACACCCCACTTCCTTCTTCCAGAGGTCTGGACACAGCCAAGCACACAAGAGTCACTGTACACTTTTGATGACTTAGCGAACCACAGAAAGGCTGAGGGATCTGAGGCCACAGAACTGGTGAATGGCACTCAGCCCCTCTGAACACCCAGCCCAGCTCTCCTTCCATGGTCTGTGGCTTTGACAGTTTCTGATATGACAATTCTGATGGCCAATCACCACTAGAAACAGCCTGTGTGCATTAACCATTTGCACCATCCAGGGACTCCAAAAAGATAAGAAGTACAGAACTTCAACTCAGAAAATGTAGAAGGCAAAGGTGGGCACTTATTTCTTACAGACCAGTCTACAATCCCAAGATGTGAACTTTACCAGAGGCATTTCCCAGGCTGAGGACAAAGAAGGTAAAAGAGCTCAGAAAGTCAGTTATACTCATTCCATGGTTGAATGGGATTTTTCTGCATGCTCCCTTCACTCCAGGTTCCCCAATTCTTGCTTGTTCATTAATCAGCCCAAGCTGGGGAGGATGTGGGCAGCAGCGACAGAGGCCGGGCATGGCAGGATCCAGCAGGCCAGCGTAGGCCAGGAAGGGAATGTGACTGTTTATTTGGAATGCCTGTGCCCTGCCTCTGAGGGAGTTCAAGCGGTCAGATGTGTCCAAGTCTGTTAGTAAAATGTGACAGAGATGTCACTAATTTGGGTAGAAGCCATCTCATTGAAAATTCTCTGTTCTGTAATGTTCCCAAAGCCCAACTGGCTCTGAGTGCTAATTGTGAGTAGTAGAAGAAAGAGACTGGAGATTGGAATGAGTTATGAGGCACAGCTTCTTCTGAAAGGTTTATCCTAAGGAATAGGAAAGAACTCATCACACCTAGGGCAGGTGTGACATCTAAGTTGCTCCTGAGTAGAATGTCAGGAGCAAAGGAATGCACGATGCTCAAGAGGAATGGAAACACATTGGTCAAGATCTATCTTGTCCTGGAAGAGTGACTACACATTTTGGCTCCACCACCGGGTTGCACGACATCCCAGTCCTCCCTCCATCATCCATCAGCCAGGCCTCACAGAAAAGGCTGGGATTAGAGCTGACCACAGGTCTGCAGCAGCTCAAGCTCCAGCTCCCGCATGCAGGATGCTGTACATGCAGATGAGCCCTCTCCCCACACTATCTGTGCAATATGCTAAGAGGCTGAACACGGCACTGAAGTTTCTCTTGGGAAAGGCAAAGTTCAGAAGGGCTAAAGGCCAGGCCTAAGCTCATAAATTATTTCAGTCACCCCATAGCCTTGCCTTCACATAGCAGCAGGCACTGAGAAGACTGAAAAACAGCAGTGCTCTGGTGGCCTACTTTTAAGAACCTGTGCTGCAATCCCAAAGGCACACTGTTCAAATCCACCAGCTACTCTGTGGGAAAAAGGTAGGCCTTTTGTGCCAATTACTGCATCTGAAAGTCCACCAGAGGGTCTCCTATGAGTGGGTTCCGACTTGATGGCACAAAGCAAGAGGAGACTTCTGTCTGCACAAGTACTACAGACCAGTAATGAGGATCCTAACAGACAAGTTCTACCTTTACAAGGAACAGAAGAGAGGCCATGACTTCAGAACATGCTCTGTCCTGGTTGACCACAGCTAACCAATCCCTCAGCCAAACTTCACACCATGGGTCCTAACAGTGCTGCTCCCAGATCCACAACTATGCACCTTCTTCTCCCTCTAGAGGTCCAGGTACTCTCAACTCAAGGTCTACCCTCCCAAGAGTCCTCTCCCCACATCATTTCCCTACTTCCAGACAATCTGGCATGTTTCCTCCCAGAGTGGAAGGGGTAGAGCCGGTCACTGTAGCCCACAGGGAACCCAAGAATTGAAGACAAAGGGACCATCTGATTCAGTCATGGTCCAGATAAGAATTAGTATGTACCATTAACAATCATCTTAGTTTTGTTAGATTCAAATTTTTCTTATTTTATCTTATTGTTTATCCAATTTTTTCATTACTTTTCATGAACGTTTACAGAGAATTAGGGTTTCCAGTCATTCATTGCTGCACTTTTCTCCCTGCACTCCCCCCCATTCATTCTTCTCCTTGGAAAGTAAAACTCTTTCATTGTTATGCAATCCCTCTCCTCAAGTCCACTCCATTGTGCAGCCTTCATTCTGGACTTCTGTCATGACAATAATACCCCATCATATATCCCTTTTAAACAGTCTCTCCCTCATCTGTTTCAATGTAGTATACATTATTCCTCCCCTCCTTCTTTGCCTTCCGTGAACCCTGATGTCAGTCCCATTTTACAACAGTGGCCCTATGCAATATTTGTCCTTTTGTAACAGATATTTCACTCAGCATAATGTCCTCCAGGGTCATCCATTTTGCATAGTATTTCATGAGTTCCTTGTTTTTCAATGCAGCATAGTATTCCGTTGTGTGAGTATACTAGAGCTTCTCTATCCATTCATTTGTTAATGGGCACTTAGGTTGTTTCCAACTCCTTGCTATTGTGAACAAAGCTGCAATAAACATGGGTGTGCATATATCTGCTTCAGGGCAGTTATGGTTTCTTTGGGGTATATTCCTAGCAGTGGAACTGCTGGGTTAAATGGTATCTCTATTTGCAACTTTTTGAGAAAGCGTCATACAGCCTTCCACAGTGGTTGCACCGTTTTACACTTCCACCAACAGTGAATAAGGGTTCTAGTTTCTCCACAACCTCACCTACATTTGTTGCTTGCTATTCTGTTAAATTTTGCTATGCCTACCAGGGTGAGATGATATCTCATAGTTGTTTTGATTCACATCTTTCTTACAGCTGGGGATTTTGAACATTTCTTCATGTGCTTGTTTGCCATCTGAATGTCTTCTTTGGTGAAGTGTCTGTTCATATCCTATGCCCATTTTTTCAACTGGGTTATTTACCTTTATACTGTTGTGGTGTATTTATCCAATTTTGTGATTTCACCTTTAAAATGTATACTTTTAGCCCCTAGTTTAAAGAGGGCTTTATAGAAATGGTCCTTTTTGAGGGCAAATGGTTTACATTGAGTAGACCTATTGCAGTCAGTGGGGGGGGGGGAGAGACTATGGGTGCAGTGCACAGGGCAGACCCACAGACTTGGCACAAGCAAGTCTTTGCCTCCCCAGTCCTGCTGACATATGCAAAATCCTGACACCTGGGCAGAGAAGGACCTTGAAAAGAAGACTGTCTTTGATTGGTCCTCCTTGGTCAAATGGACCTCTAACCCTAAAGGAGGAAGTAACAACAAAACCGAAGATTTCCTCAGCTGGAGAAGGTCTGACTATTTCACCACCTTCTGCAGTGCCTTCTTAACCTCAGCCCAACCAAGAATGGCCAGAACAGGTGTGGGCCTCTACCCTGGGCCCACCAGGTGAGCCTGCCAGCTTTACAACCCCTCACAACAGGGCATCCTAGCCACTCTCAATTAGCAGCACTGGATTTCCTTATTCATCGGCCAATGAGAATTTCCAAGTTAGCATTGCCCCAGCTACACTCACAAGAGCTGAGTGACACACTCAGGACCCTAAGGCAACCTCACTGGTTTTAACTTGCTCTCCTTTGCACTCTCTTTACCTCCAATGGTGTTAAGTATTTCTTGTCCAGTGGAAAAAAAACCAAAACACTTTAAGCAAAAGCCATCGGGCAAAAAGAATGGCAAAGCCACTGGATATTTCTGAAACTAGAAGGACCAAAGGTGTGCGATGGGGAGTGAGACTGAAGCTGCCCATCCTTCTCGTAGATACTTGGAGGGAGAATGGCACCTGGCCCTCGTCACTGCAGTATGACACCTGAGCTGGGTAACTGCAACTGCTGGGCTATACGACTCTAAGAGTCCTGGGTGGCTCGCTGAAGTACTGAACTAAAACACAAAATTAAAACTGTTTTCAATTTGAGACTCTTGTAGATAAAAAGGAAGTATCCAGAAACACATCTCCATATAAGTACTAATGTGACTCACAGAGGGACTGTATACAGGCAAGGTCTACTTCTGGCTCCATCACATGTTGACTATGTGATTTTGTGCCCTGCTCCTTTTCTCGAGTCTCAGCTTCTGTATCTAGAAAGAATACCTACCTGAGAGCCCTCCAGTAAATGAATGTAAATATGCTAATGGGGTAAGAGGGGTAGTTCCATAGCTCAGGCCAGAAAATGTGCACCAGGGAAGGGCTGAGCAGCCAAGTAGGCAGGAAGCAGGTAAAATATGAGCAGCAGCTAAAGAGGTAAAGGGACTGTGGGCCGCACTTCAGGCCACAAAGAAGGAAAAGGCAAGACTGACCTTGAGGGCAGGAATCTCTACACTGTCGCTGAGGTGAACGGAGCCGGAGAGGATGGTTCCTGTCATCACAGTGCCTTGGCCCTTGATGGAGAAGCAGTGGTCCACAGACATGAGGAATGGTCCCGATGGATCTCTCGTCGGGATGGAAATCTGGGACTTCAGGAGCTAGAAAAGAGATAAGGGTGGCAATACTCATAGACGCTATGGCCTGTCAGAGATGAGGTGAGAGGAGAAGGTAAATGAGGGTGGAGACCAGTCAATGGCTCATCAGTGTAGCCAAGGCAAACCCTGGGTACAAGCTAGTGTAGTCAAGGGAAGCAGAGCTGGCAGCACAGAAGATAACAGCTCCCAGATTCCACACAAGCCTCACCATGCTCTCAGCTCACTCTGTTCAATGAAAGACTAAAGGGCATTCAGAGATGAGTGGGTGATGGTAACAATCTAGCAGCCCTTCACGCCACCAGAGGCAGTCTGCCATGGGGTACCTCAGCAAGTTCCTCCTCCCAATACCTTCAGTATGAAAGGTTCCTCACCTTCCAGCCCAATTCCAATGGGGGCCTCATCTCTCAGCACCTCTTACCTCAGCCCAGGCCCAAGCCATAGGCAGATTTAGGATACCTCCCCATGATCAGCAGCTTCTTCACCCAGGCAACCCTGGCTCACCCTGCACCCCATACCACTTCCTCTGCAAAGGATTTTCTAAGTCATACAACCACAGCAGTCATACTCTATTGTCATCTGATTAGCTGTTACTCCCTTAGGAGCTACAAGCATTTCTAAGTACCTTCAAGAGCGGGCACTGTAGGTCAGAGAATAAGTGAATGAAAGAAAAAGGGGAAAGAATGCAGGGAGAGGAGAGAAAAGGTTGCTCCAGAAGCAGCAGCCTGTTCTGCAAGGGTGGGTCAGGGACAGGGCTTCCCAGAACAAGAGCGTATGGAGCCTTGCTTTCAAGCCAGGGCAGCCCAGGGGCCAGTAAGGCCCAGCCAACATGGAGAGCCGGCCCAGCCTCACGACACAGCCAGCTCCCTCCCCCCACAGCCTGTGGGTCTGCTTCTCTTTCTTCTCTGGCTCTTTCCAAATACTTTCAACTTTAACAAACCAATCTTCCTTATGCCATCTATGTGCTCAAGATGTTGTCAGAGCTAATTACAAAAAAACAAATGGACATAAAGACGGCTTTCTTCCTTTTATTTTGCTACTTTCTGATTTCATAAATCAATAAGCTGTCAAAAAAGTATTCAGTAATGAAATGTTCCAAAGTCTTAGTCTTATGATAATAATTCATTTGGAAGAGATTGAATAAATGCTTTGCTCTGAGATTTATGTAGGGACGTCTTAAAGGTATATGCTAATTTCACAGCAGCATTTTTTATGAATTGTGCTTTAAACAACTGTTCCAGACCAATGGTCTCTGGAACCAAAGAAAAAGTAACAAAGGCCTCACTAAAAGGGGGAGGTGGGATGTATGTGAAGGTCTGTGTATGCGTGTTTTGTTTTGTTTTTGTTGTTGTTTAGCTAAGTCAGCACTCATCTCTGGCTTTAGAGATGACAGTGCAAGAGGACAACAAAGCAAGGCCCAACAACTAACCTCACTTTAAATGCTAGCCTACTACTCATGTACTGTGAGATGCTGGGCAAGTTACTTACTTAACAACTCCCTGAATTCTTCCTCTGTACAACAGGAAGAATAGGTTTAAGAACTTAAACCTCCAAGATTACTGAATGTGTCATATATATATATATAAAGAATTTAGTACAGTGCATGGTGCATATAAATCATTATAATCACATGGACATAGCCCTGTTGCAAGAACATTTGACTTACAACAAATTTAACCCTCAAATCAACTCTAAAGGGTAAACAATATCATATTCCTCTGATGGTCAATTTTATATGTTAACTTGGCTAGTTTATGATTCTCAGCCACTAAGACAGATAAGGAATCAGTTGCTATTCCATAATGTAATGGAATGACCTTTCACGATGTGATGTGGCATGACAAACTGAGCATTCCATTGAAAGGGAAGTTTTCTTTGGTGTATGATTTGCCTATAGACTACAAAAGGCTATTCTAGCAGTGCTCATCACTCTTGACATTGAACTCTTCTCATCATTTGACCTACAACTAGATCTTGAGACATAACACAGCAGAAGTCTTCAGTTAGTTGTTTAGAAATCTGCTAACACTGAGAAATCTGAAGATTTCTGGTCTGGAATCTGTTTACAGATTTGGGACCTACTAGCCCTACAACTGCATTGGTCAATCCCTTGAAGTAAAGAAATCTCCTTTAATTATTTATCTCACTATAAATGTCTCCCTGTTTTGCCCCTCTAGAAAACCCAAATTAATGTATTCTGGTACCATCTAGAGTAGCATTAGAGTGCTTCTCTAGGAAACCAAATTAAGATATACTGGTACCAAAATGTCATATTCTAAAATGTTAAAGATGAAAATGACAGGGAACAAGTGCGAAGAATGTGGTCACTTTGTGGGTATTAAAATTAATAGAAAATAAAATGTGCATGAATGATTTAATGGAAAACCAATTTGCTTTTTAAAGTTTCACTCAAGTCCCAATAAAAAGGAAATGAACTTGATTTGACATTATAGAGATGATGATGCTAAAATAAATTGTTTAAATTATGTTCAACTATCTTGGCAATAATACTGTAACAGGATAGAGCAAGGTAAAGGAATGTTGTACATAGGCTCACTATGAGTCACAAGTGACTCAATGGCACATAGCAACCACATTTTGTCAAATGTAGAACTTTTATAGCTGAGGAGGTTTCTAAGCAAGATCTTAAGGGCACTGTGTAGTTCCTCTTTGCATCCTATAGTAGAATGTGAGAAGAAGAAGATAAGACTTAAATATGAGCCATACAAAATGAAATCAGAAAATTAAAGCTTTGGAAATTATGTTGTATAAACCAGATAAGTATGTCCTAGAGCTTTCACCAATAGCTTGGACACATTCTCTTTTGTTAAAGAGATTAAGTTCATGACTGATGGATCTAATGAACCATCATAGCAGAAATCCCATTAGCTTCAAATAAAAGGGACAGAGACAAAGAAAGGGACAAAATAAAGAAAAGCTGTTTTCTCCTGGAATTTATAGACAAGAAACGGGGTGATGGAGTGACATGCTTACAAACACCTTTGTCTTCCACAAAAGAAGGCACTAATTTGAGAACAGTCTGAAGATCAGCAGAACTGGTAGCAAGACTATGATGGGCAGGACAGCCTCCATTTCAGTAACTGAAACCATCACTTTGTTTTAACAAGTGGATAATTTGCCACTAAAATTTCAGAATCAGATCTGCACCACCTTGGTTCTAGAAGTGCAAGGCTGTAGATGAGGTGGCCAAGGGGATGACGCCTTCACCCAAAGCTGAGGAGGTAGGGATGCCATGTCCAAGGAGTAGAACAAAGTCACCTGAGGTCAAGGAGGTCCAGTCAGGTGGACCAGGAGAATGAGATCACCCAAAGTTAAGGGGCCATGGTTGACCTCTCAATGGTCTGAGAGGTTAGGCTAATGACCAGAGACCAAGGGTTTTCCATCCAGAAACCAGAGAGAAAGACCAATACCCAGACTCTGTAGGGCAGGGCCACTGTCCAGATGGTCCTGGAGAAGAGAGAGTTATTTTAAAACCTTGAGAGCTAATGAAACTTGCTCTATTGAATTTTGGACTAGCTTGTTGCCAATAAACTCTTTTTACTCTCCCTAATTTGTAACAGAAATGTCTCTTTGTATTTGTCTTACTATAATATTCTGGAAGTAAATAACTTGTGTTCTAGATTTCACAGGATCACTAATGGAGAAGATTTTTGCTTCACAATGGAATACAAATAAAGTTTCACTATGCTTGATTTAGATGACCTGGAAGAGGAGATCTGGGGTTCAGATTTGATTTAAGATGTTGGAAATGATATGGGGTGAATGTATGTTTTATGTGGAAATAAGTATTTTGTGGGGCAATAGGGTAGATTGTTAGAGACTGAATTGTATTCCTCCAAATGAGCATTATAAATCCTAAGCCGTATGTCCACAATAAGGATTTTCAGAGGCCTCCTATTTCAAAAGTGGCTGGCCAATCCTACTTCCTACTCTGTCTTAAACCATAATCAATACCCATAGTAACAGCAGTCAAGAAGGAGATCAGGAGACATATTGGACTAGTCTATAGTCAAGGATCTTTCCAAATTATTGAGGAACAATGATGTAAGTTTGAGGAGTAGGGTGTGCCCAATTGAAAGGCCCTGGTCTTTTCAATTACTTACTATGCTGCTGAGAGTTGGACAATGAATAAGGAAGACAGAGGAAGAAGTGGTGGCTTTGAACTGTGGTGGTGCTGGACAAAAGTACTGAATATCCCAGGGACTACCAAAAGAAGAGACATATATGTCTTGGAGAAGGTGCAGCCAGCGTGCTCCTTGGAGGCAAAAATGATGAAGCTTCCTCTTGTGTACTTTGGGCATGTTTCCAGGAGAGGTTATTCCTTGAAGAGTGACATCATGCTTGGAAACATGGAGGGATGGTAAAAGAGAGAAAGCTCCTCAATCAGGTGGGCTGACACAGTGACTACATGAGTGTGTCAGAGATTGTGAGGATGGCACAGGATAGGACAGGGTTCAGATCTGTTGTTTTTCATGGTGTCACTACGAGTCATATTTGATGGCAACTAACAATAACAACATGTTCACAAATGGGTTATCACTCATAAATTATTGTTCTGTTAATGAGGGCATCGGGACGAAGTGTACCTTAAACTATTTCCTTTAAAGATATATTAAGAGCAAATCAGACACTGATGCAAAGTAGCACAGACTAAGGAGAAAATGTTATAACACATGAAAAAAAATCAATGAACTTAGACTCTGGAGAGAAATAAGAATGTTTCACACAAGTCATCAGAGAAGTAAAGCCTTTCCCTACAGCCAGTGCCCTGGATTCAATCATCTAGCCTCCTAAAATGTGAGAAAATAAATTCCTGTCCATTAAAGTCACCTACATGCTATTCTATTTTAGCAGCACAAAGAAAAAAGACAAGTCTCTAATTTATTAATAGAGAAACTGAGACAATAGATAAAATAATTTGCCCAAGATCAGAGAGACAACAAGTGTTAGAAACATTTGAGCCCAGGAGTCCAGAATCACCATATATATTCAACCAGAGAGTACCACCATCTCCGTCCTCAATACTGTCCATCACAGTGTTGCCACCATAACAACCATACTCTCTGCTGACTGTCACAGGCCCCTGGCTTGTTAGCTGGGCTCCTTCCCTCTAAGAACTTGGGCTGTACTGACCACTGGACCTATAGCCACTGAGGCTATAGGACTTAGGCTGTGCTGCTCTGCTCCTGAGCCATCTGCTTCACCCCAGCTGATCCTCAGGCTTGGAGGGCTTAGTGCGGAAGTGGTGGGATGGAGGACACTGTCAAGCTGCAGGCTGGCTAGAACTGCTATATGAGTGAAGAACTCTAGTAAGCCCCTTTATTGGTATCTTCTAGCCCTCTGTTTTGTTTCTTTTTATACTGAACAGGGGTGGATATGCTAAGATGTGTAAGGTTAATGGACTCAACTCAAGTCTTCTTCCTGAGTTGGTTCAGGGTCTCTCTATCCCTCCACCTCCACCCCACCCCACCCCACAATCGCCTCCTCTTTCCCATTCTCTCTCTCTCTTTGGACAGAATAAGATACACAGACACCTGAGAAAGGCTGAAAGGGCAAAGGATCCCAGCTGGCAATACCTCAATAAGCTCTGAGATGCCCTGTGGAGCTTCTGTTTCAGGTGCCTCTGGTCCCCCAGGCTTCGCCGCCACAGGTATGATCGGCGCTCCTCGAAACCTAGAGTGGAAAAACAAGTCTCATCACAACCACATAGACTATCAGCAGGGACAAAGTACGTCCACAAAACCCTGGGGAAAAACCAAGAACTATCAGGCATCTCTTTTTTAATCCCTTCAGAAACACCTCAGGAATACAGTATATTATTCACTGCCATTTTGCAGGAGAGAAAAGGAAAGACCCAAAGGGAAGCCTTGAAATGGACAGTAGAATTTATAAGGGTCTTCTTAGGTCTTAAACTTCACTTTCAGTGTCCTCCTGCCTCTGCGATCCCCTTAAAAAGGACAGCAGATACAGTCCACATCCTGGAGAGACTCTAGAAATACCAGTGACCAAAGGCTCCGTAAAGGGCACCTACACAGCCGACACACCAAGAGGGCATTCCTGACCACACAGTAGGAAATCCACCTGCAGGGCCCTGCTTCTGTGGAAGAGGTTCCTTGAGATTGTCTATTTATTTTTCTCATTAAAAACAAAACAACCCGTGCAATGCTGTCAGAAAAAAGAAACGGGGAAAGAGAAAACAAGTCATAAAACCAAATGTTGTATTCCCCCCCCCAATCTTAATTTTTTCCCTTATGCTTCATTAAGGGATTTTCCTGTTTTGCTTAAAACAATTTGTCCACAATCCCATATCCTATTATTTTATTTACATTTTTGTTATTGTTGTTGTCTACTTCTGAGCTACAACTGACCCAGAGCTGATTCTCTAGTAGGTCTTAAGAAGCAGTTACTCACAACCAAGGAGATTGCTCATCCTTTTCCCATGGAGCAGCTGGTAGATTTGAGCCATTTGCCTTCAGGACTGCAATGCTGCTTCTTACCACTAGGCCACAAGAGCTCCCTTCATCATAAAGAATTATTGTTGTTGGGTGTTTTTTTTTTATCATTAAGAATTTTTGTTGAATGACAGCAACCACAAAAGCAGTAACAACTGGCTTAGCAAACCCAACCATATGTTTTTACGGAATTGTTGTAACTGTATAAATGACAATCATTGGTTATAAACCAAGGGGCCAAATTCAAACACATCCATCTGTTTCAAGAATCAGCACCCTCAAATTCTAAGGTATATTTCCTTCTTCCCTGGCATTTTCTTCAATTTTTGAGGGCTATACAATAGTATAAAGAGTAAGTGATTTCCCCTTAACTGTTAGAATATTTCAGGATTTCAACTATTAGAAATAAAACTGTGATAAACATACTAACACTGATAAGAAGCTGTGCTGCAATCACAAAGGCATGTGGTTCAAATTCACTAGCCGCCAGAAGCTCTGTGGGAGAAGGATGGGCAATCTCCACCCATGGGATATACAGCCTCTGAAAACCTTCTAGAGGGAAAGCTATGAGTCATTTTCAACTTGACAGGCCACAGCAACAACAAATGACTGACTTTTGCCATGGTTTTGTGATGAACTGCTAGGGTATAAATCTGTGCTTTAGACTTATACACATATTTATACTCCAAACTTTCACATTGAAAGGGCAACAGAAATGGCAAGGCAAAGACTGAGAAAATTTCTGTCCTCCATAAGACTAATGAGAATATTGGCAAAATCAACTTTTTCAGAATGCTGAAAATAAACCAGAAGCCTTCAGCAATATGAGAAGTACAAATTTAAAAAAAAAAAAAGACTTTTAGTAAAAATATGTAAAATTTAACTCCATTTCCTGCCATCAAGTTAATTTTACCTTATAATTATCCTAAAAGGCAATATAGAGCCGTCCAACAGAGTTTCTAAGCATGAAAATCTTTACAGGAGCATATGGCCTCGTTTTTCCTCCCATGGAACAATTGGTGTGTTTGAACTGCCAGGCTTTCAGTTAACAGGTAAACTCTTAAGCCAATGTACCAGCAGGGTTCCTTTAAGTAAGCTTTGGACATTGTAATCTATCCTATTCTTTCCTCAACTCTGTAGCATTCTTGAAAACCAGCAGCCTGGCAATCACTGGCTGGAGGAAAATGGCATCAAAAGTCTCATTCCCAGCATTCCCAGGGAACTGTCATAATTTGATTTGCCTGATAAAAGATCTCACTTAAAAAGCTTGTCTTTTTTTTTTTTTGGCCTGAATTGGAGCTCAGACAATGCAAACAGCCTTTCCCCAGAAGCATCTGTCAAAAACAACCAGAAGTAATTGTTTGACATTATGGAATTGATTCCCAGAGATTTCATGTTATTTTAAAACGTCAATTTTTTTAAAAAAGTACAATATGTACAAAGAAACAAAAATATAGCCTAAATCCAAGAAAAGGAAAGTTCACAAAAACTGTTCCTGAGAAAGCCCAGATATTAAAATTACTAGACAAATTTTTTAGACAAATATTTTAATAAAGTCATCCTAAGTATGTTTAAAAAAACTAAAGGAAACCATGTCTAAGGAAAATATGAGTATAATATATAACCAAACAGAGATTATCTAAAGAGCTAGAAATTACTTCAATTGCTTGGGGGATTTTTTAATAAAAAAATAAATTAAAGAAGGAGGGATGAAAAGATCAAAGTGAAATTCTGGAGCTGAAAAGCATAATAATTACAATTTTTAAAATTCACTAGAGAATCTTAGCAGAAGATCTAGGCAAGCAAAGGAAAAGATCAGCAAACTTGAAGACAAATCAATACAGCTTATTCAGCATGAAGAAAGGGGGGAAAAAGATGAGGAACATAATCAGCCTCAGAGATACGTGAGATATCTAAGCATGATAGTTTATGCGGAATATGAGTTCCAAAAGGACAAGAGGAGATGTCAGACACAAGGCAGAAAGAACATTAAGAACAGACCCAAAAAAGTCCCAAATATGAAGAAAAACATACTTACATGTCAAAGAAGCCTGGCAAACTTTAAATACATGAAAAGAAATTCACATCTAGACACATCAAAATCAAAGAGAAAATCTTAAGAGTAACAAGAAAGAAGTAATTCATCATGGAAAAAGGAGTCTCCTTAAGATTAGCAGCTGATTTCTCATCAGAAACTATGAAGGTCAGAAGTTAGTCAAGCAGCATATTCAAAGTGCTAAAAGAGAAAAACTACAGACAAAAACTACATCCTGTAAGAACAAATAAACAAAAACCTTCAAAAATGAAAAAGAAATTTCTATATTTCCATATAAACAAAACTGAGAGAACTTATCATAAGAAGATTTGCCTTTACTTTAATAAAATTTTTTTATTTTATGCTGGTTTACTTACAAAGTTTGCATACGTTGGTTTTTACACTGGATCTTTCCCATTTCCTTAACTCATCCCTCCTTTTACTCATCAAATCATGCAACCCCTCATGGACCATCCTCATCTCTCTACTCCCATCTTCTGCCCTTAGATCTTCATACACATTTTACTAATTCTCTATTTCTATCATAATGAACACCTGCATTTTAAGAAATAAGGTCGTTCTACAGGTTGAAATATCAAACAGTAATGTAATATTGTTAAGATAATGCTACTTTCCAAAACCAGATATAGATTCAATGCAATCCCTATTAAAATTTCAAAAGCTTCTTTTGCAGAAGTTGTTCTTGTTCTTTGCCACTGAGCTGCTTGTAACTCATGGTGACCCTATAATAGCCCTTGAACACTACTCTATCCTGTGACAACTTCACTGTGTCTGACACACCTACCTTCATTACCCCACTGTCTCGATTCATCTCGTTGATGGTCTCCCTCTATTTCTCTGTCCTTCCACCCTTCCAAGCATGATGTCCCTCTCCTAGGACTTTCAAGGAAGTGAATAACTAAAACGATCTTCAGTGAGAAAAAGAACACTCCCCCTTCCTAATTTCAAAACTTAGCTAAAGCTCTAGTAATCAAAATAATGTGTCCTTAGCACAAGGATAGACATATAGACCAATAGAAAAAATGTTGTTGTTGTTTGTTGTTATTGTTATGTGCCATCGAGTCGCTTGCGACTCATAGCGACCCTATGTACAACAGCCCTAAACTCTGTTCTGTCCTGTACCAATCTCATTGTCTCTGACACACTCATCCCGATTGCCCCAATCACCGAATCAATCCACCTCCCAGAGGGCATTCCCCTCCTGCACCTGCCCTCCACCCTCCCATACATGATGTCCTTCTCCAAGGACCAGTCTCTCCTTACAACATGACCAAAGTATGTCAGACAAAGCCTCAGAATCCTTGCCTACAAGGAGCACCCTGATTTAACCCTCTCCAGGATGAATCTGTTGTGTTCTTAGCAATACCTCAAGAATTAATTCTCATTAATATGGTCAATTGATTTTCTACAAGCGTATCAAATCCATTCAACAGGGAAAGCATAGTCTTTTCAACAATTGAGTCTGAGAAAAAGCATAGAGCTGGATTTTTAATCCATACCATATGCAAACATCATATACTGCCCCATCAACAAATGAATGGATAGAAAAACTATGGCATACTCACACAATGGAATACTACACAGCACTGAAAAATCAGGAACTCATAAAATATTACACAACATGTGTGACCCTGCAATACATTATGTTCAGTAAAATATCTCAGTCCCAAAAGGATAAATACTGCATAACACCACTGTTATAAAACAGGACTGAAATGAGGGTTAGGGGGGAACTAAGAAAAGAGAGGATAAATAATAAACATTGCATTGGAACAAATGAAGGGAAGAATTGTTTCAAAGGAATATATGATTAGGCATTATTTTGTATGACAACAGCCCAGAATAAGAGATGCATAGCAAAGTGGACTAGGGTGAAGGTGATGGAGGGAGGAAATTATGCAACTGTTTTGTGTTTGGTTTTTGTTTAAAAAAAGGAAAAAAACAGAAACAAAAAATGCAAATAGAATATACAGGAAAATGTGCAAGAATGAACAAATGAAAATACAATTTTTCTGTAAACTTTCATTAAAATCACAATAAATAACAGATGCTTTTACTTAATGCTCAAAAAAAATAAAATAAATACACATATTGCATGATTCCATTTATAAGGAAAAAAATACATATCAGATAATGTTCACCAGCAGCTCTGTGGAAGAAAGATG